CCAGTGATCGACCATATGTCTCCTTTACCAATAGACATTCCTGGAATATGAGTACTCTCGTATTCGGAAGTTTCTTTTGGGGCAGACAGGGTGACCCGCAGCAGGCAAGTGCTTCGTAATCGATGAGCGCGGGATTCTGTTTTGCTCCAACAGAAGCTATATATGCAGGTGCTCTATAGGTCTAACTGCCAGTATCCATGGTATTCCCCTTTGCATTCGCAAGTGCCTGTAAATTCATGAATGTACCTTGACGTGGCGTGCACTGCTAAGGCATTTCTTGCCGTTTACAACTGCTATGCCGTCGCGCAATATGCCGAATCCAATAAATTAAGCTTTATCTGCTTGCTTTAAATTCGTACCGGGTCAAAATATATCATGTATAGAAACTATATTTATTTTCCGTCAAACATCACCGAGAATAATCAGTGACTTTCTCAATGGTACATAAATGTAATAGGCACAAAAATTACATAGCAAAAACGCCACTCATATAACCGTTGAAAAAATAGAGTTTAAAATAATATTGTCATTGTCCAACACACGCCAGCCACTGAAATCGTGGTATGAATCAGCCAGAATACAGAATAGCCGCTAATATCAATTTCATGTTCAGAATGCAAGAAAATGGTTTTAAAAAAATAAAGATTAGGAAGATTTTCTAGCGTAATCTGGTACCAAATCACACACTGCAGCAGTAATAGTAGTAGAATTTGATCATGCAGAAGACTTTTCATGTAGTCTGTATGTGTCCGCATTGGATTCTCGCCAAGGTGCAACCAAATTGATTTCGTGTATAGTCTTGCCACCCCGAACCAGCCGCTCTCGAACCCAAGCTAACTCATCCTGAGTATCGTTCTGGTTCTGGACATTTTCGTAGAGAGGGGTGTGTTCAACGAAAGCATACCTGTCCGCTAGTTCTTTGCACGGCACTGTCCGACCAGGAGTTCCATGCTCAGTGATGTGCGAATAGCTGGAAGCCGAGCAAAGGTCATTTCCTGGATAGGTCTGCAGCAGGACAGCAAATGTGTTCCTTGGCGTAGGAACCCAGTACTTGTAGAATGGCCTGAGGATCAATGGAAAAATGTCTGATTTTGCATAGCCATAATACCGACCATAGGACCATGCGAGTTCTTGTATATGCGTCCCGTTAGAGGAGTAGTAGCTAACATCCAGGTAGGGCCAACCCCAGTTGTAGGCACTCAGTTTGCGACTGCCGTAAACGTCCTCAGAAGAATTACTCGGTTCAATTAGCTTTGCGTATATCTTATCCCTCTGTCCGCCCTCCTTGATGAGGATGTCGGGTTTCAACTTGCGTATCTTTTCCCTTAGTCCTGGTCTAGCCTCAACGTCAACAATAAGATCAAGGTCATCATCCCAGGGGGTAATATCATGATGTCTAAATGAGCCGAGCAGGGTACCACCATAGAGCATCCACCTGTCACTGAAACCCAGCTCCTCCATCGCATTCATGAAAGTACTGAAGAGTTTCCACATAGTGCGCATCTGACCGCGGCTTAATTTGGCTTCCAGGGGCATTTGGCGACTTGTTGGCGCACCCATTGGGGTAAGTAGAAATTCCTTCTTTGGCCAATTCATATTCTCCAGATTTGGAAGGTTTCGGCGTTTGACTTCTATGTGACCACTGTCCACTACATAACTCTGACGGTCCAGCTTTGGTTCTTTCATGTTGAGAACATTGACTTCACGGTGAACGTTGGAGGGCCTTATTGATATTTGCAGATAATTACGTGAAAACATCAGTAGTCCAAGTATAATGATGATGGCACTGAATTTCATCATTCCTCGGCGAACCATTGTTCCTGCAATTTCAGTAGTGATTTTGCTCCCTGTCCAGGCTACCTGAAAATTTGAAAGACATAGACGATCGGTTAGGAAGATACAAGTTATCCCTAGACTGAATTATGCTAAGCAACGTGAGAATGTAAAAACGTACGATGATGCTCTTAAGAAGAGCAAGATGTATACATTTTTTGCGGATGGAACCCCTTTAAATAGATGATGCGATCTCTCTCTCTACCCCGTACCGGAATCTCACCAATCACAAACTTTCTGATGCGCAAAACCAATGGATCGGTATCGCGTAGGATGTCTTGTTTTCCTCAGGTGACTTTCTATTGCATTTCTGACTTTTCACTTAGTGGTCTTATCTGTTCATCTCCTGAAGGTTGCGGAATGCCGTGCGCACAGCTGTCATTGTGCATGCAGGGTATGCATTCTATTTAACCTAGATGACGTTTTTCATGTCAAGTACGAGGGCACACTGGAGCGTTAATTTAGTCTCGTGACTCTAGCTGAGTGTATCAACGTTATATTTGTAAAGAAAACTGTCTTATTGATTTGGCATATTGAAGGAATACAGGCGCAAAATCGGTTCCTATTCTAGTTAATACAACGGCAGCAAATATCTTTCCTACCTCTACTTCTTGCGGCTTCGATGCTGACTGATGTAGCCGGTCTCGACAATGTGGCGTACGGTTCTTGTCCACGCATGACGATCCGTGGTCACAGAGCTGAACAGTTTTAGGCCTTTCCTTTGCCAGCGCCGGAGACCGAATAAGGAAGGTCTAAGAATCACTTCCATGTCCTGACCGAGCCAGGTTTTGAACTTAACCTCACTTTTACGTTTCCAATTAGGTAACGGTTTGAAGTCGAGGGCAGTAATACTGAGTTCGTAAGATTGACGACGAAGAGCATGTCCAAAAAACTCAGTCCTCTTTCTTGGATTGCTTGGAATATTCTTGCGATGTGCGGACTGTCTCATTTGTGACGAAGTGGGTGTACTTCACTCGAAAGATGGTCCTCAAGCAGTAGTGGTCAAAGACTTCCAGCTTCCGTTTATCTTTCCTTCGCATAGTCCAGCATTCCTATCCATGTCGAAGAACAAACCGTACGGATGCAGGATATATGTGGAACTCTGTGAAGGTAGAAATATCGCGTCGCATCCATAGGCACTTTCAAAAGCTGAAGAAAACTCGTTGAGTTGCATCAGTTAGGGAGACAATGTCATCCTTACTCTGTCCATTCGGCAGCAACCTCGCTCGGAGATATTTGAAAATGTCAATTTCCTCAAGTTGACAGCCATTACTCTCGAGAGAAGCTTTCCCTTGGGCAGGGATGCAGCGTGAAAAAAACTTTGCTCTTCCCCAGAGTTTATGGATAAACTGACCGATTTCGCGACCTAGTTCACCCGTGACAGCATAGACTGTTATTTGCCAAAGGTTGAAGCAAGCAAAGCAATATCCTCGGCAAGTCGAGGTCAGTCAACTGGCGCCCGGGTGCAAGCTCAATACCGTCATTTTCCTCTAGAGTATTCCCTGCAGCCTTCCATCGTGCTATAAAAGAAAATTAATAGAAGCAAGAAAGGTTTCAAAGAAATCGCCTTTTGAATCAAAAATAGGGTTTATATCAATGAAAATTTGTAAAAATTCCCATTGAAAATTCAGAAGATGG